CAGCCTTGCTTGCTCCCTGCAGGCCTGGGTTCCTCTGGCCCCTGCTCAGATTTCCTGTGGCCACCCCCTCCCCAGCCTCCCTCAGGTGCTAGCACTTTCCCTTTTATTGTTCTTAGAGTGAGCCCAGGAGGGTGGGGACCCCATTACAGGCCTTAAAGCTCTGCCAGGTATTATCAGGGGACTCTTCTTGTCCTACCATGTCCCTGCAGGCCCTGCTGGCACAGCTGAGTCCAGGGAAGGCGTGTGCCGGGTGTGCCCTCCTGGGCTCTTAGACTCCTTGTCCTGCTCCTGGCCAGTCCTGCTCTCAGCCAACTGTAGAACTGGAAGAATCAGACCATCTAGCCTCCCTCCCCCTCCCAGGTGGTGAAGACTGGTAGTGACGCCACTCCTGCCCAGCAAGGGGGAGAGGAAATCACATTTATTGGGTCCTTACCTGTGCCAGGTACTTCGTGTATATATTAACCTCATTTAATCCCACAATAACTGTGAGATGAAAACATTATGATGCCCATTTCCCAATAGGGAAACTAACAGAGAGGCTGATGATTCGAGAAGCCAGGGCGTAGTCTGTTGGACCCTGAAGCCTGTCTCTTTCTAACGCAGCTCCCATACTTCATACTTCTCCAGGCTATTTTCGTGTGCACAGGGAACAATGCTTTGACCCTTGGAATGAAGTGCTGATGGTAGGAATTCAGGTACCATTAGACTGGCTGATAGTGGAGATATTTGGCTGGGAAGGGTGGGAAGACCCTCTGGAGCCTTTATCTGCAAACACTTCACAGCCAGAAGCCCAGCTGAGCCACAAGGCCGGCTGTGGAGGGCAATAGGCTGTGGGGGTCAGCTATGTGGGTTGGGGGTGGGGGGTGCTGGGGGAGTTGCTCATGCATGTGAGGAGTGGAAAGGCTTAGTTTGGCCTCCCGGACACCTTCCAAACGCTCCTCCTCCCAAACATCCCAGCCTCTGGCGCCCTGAGATTGTCTCTGGGACCATAGGCTGGGGGCAGGTGGGTTCTTGGGTCTTCTTGGTGGCTGCTGGGTCTGACCCCAGGGCCCATTATTCCAGCTGGCTTGGCCCAGGTCCCAGGGAGTCTGGTTAGTGTGTACTTGGGGCTTGGGCTGGATGATCTGCTGGTGCCCAGTGCCAAAGGCCTCTGGGTGTATTTCAGGAACAATAAAGAATAAATCAACAGGGAGAAAAAGCCCTGCAGCAGCTGCTCAGAGACTGAAAAACCGAAAGGAATGTTTGAGCATTTGGCAGAGGTCCTGGATCTTGACCAGGGCCTGAGAAAGGGCTTGACACTAACTAGATGGCTGGGCAAGCGAGGCAGGTGGCTCCCTGTGCCTACTCTGCAGCCCATCTAGGAGGCCCCAGGCAGGGACCCACCCCCACCCTTGCTGGGTTTTGTGCTTCTTTTTTTTCTTTAATATATTTTTATTGATTTCAGAGAGGAAGGGAAAGTGGGGGAGAGAGATAGAAACATCAATGATGAGAGAGAATCATTGATCGGCTGCCTCCTGCACGCCCCACACTGGGGATCGAGCCCGCAGCCTGGGCATGTGCCCTCACTGGGAATCAAAACACAACCTCTTGGTTCACAGGTTGATGCTCAACCACTGAGCCATGCCGACTGGGCGTTTTTGTGCTTCTTGGTCACTAGCAGGTAAAGGGAAGCCATATTGTTCCCATCTTTTCTGCTCCAAACCAGCAGGATTCCCCCAGCCCCCGGCTATCCGGTAGGTCTTGGTCCTGGAACTGGCCAGGCAGGAGAGCCTGGGCTGATGAAACCACCACACCTAGACCCCCCTCCTCCACCTCCCTACTGAGAAGGACCAGGTCTGAAGGAGTGCTGAGTGTGACTATCCACCCAGGAGGCCCTGACCACAGCTCTCCAAGTCATCAGCCATGTGTCCTTGGATAAGTCGCTACCTCTCAGGGCTTCAGTTTCATCAGTTATGAAATAGAAATCTGGACCAGTGATCTAGGGAGTAGGCAGTATCTGTCTCCCTTACTCAGGATGTGAAATGATCGGCGTTTATTTAGGAATGTAAGTTCTTGAGAAGATACCCATCTGAAAGCCCTATGCAGAGAAGAAGGTTGCTATGGCTGGGACTGATATTCAATGGTGGGGACCATTGGCACTCGTAGGAACCCAAGCCTGGAGCCGACTTGCTCCGGACTTCAGCGTGCTGGGGGAGGGGGACAGGAGTCTGCGCCCCATGGGAGTTGGAGCATCTGACAGGCAAGAGAGAGTCGGCTTTATTTTTTAAAGCTGCTAGCCAACCATGGGTATGGGGCTGCAGAGTGTTGGAGGGGTGTGGCTCCCTCCTGAGCAGATGTTGAGCCTCCCACATGTTGACGCAGTGGTGGTAATCACCAGTAGCCTCTTCATCTTCAAAGCCACTCTCCTCCCGCCTCTCTTACCCACCTTACCTGACCAGTCACACTTGCAGAAAATCATGGAGTTTTTCAGGCTCTCCAGGGAGAAGGTGTAGCAGCATCCATCCCAGACAGTGGTGTGGCGTCTCAAGCAGGAGGCTGAGCCTGAAGCCCTGGGGAGGAAGTTTCCAGATAGAATTCTGGGTTCCAGTGCTGGCCTTGCCTCTATACTCCTGTGATTTCAAGCAGCTGATTTGACCCCTTGGATATTCAGGTTCCTCACTGAGAAAGGGGAGAGTAGTAATACCTACCTTGCACTGAGGATCAAACAGGATCATGTGTGTAGAGTGCTTGGCACATAGGAGCACCCTCAAGAAGTGTTAGAGGTGGTGAAGGTGGTGAAGAAGAAAGCCTTATTTTGGTGGTGTTGGGATTTCATCTTGGCTTCAAGCCCTGCCCAGTGTCTACTCTCTCTCTCTCCCTTCCCAATAAAATATATTTAAAAAAAAAAAAAAAAAAAAAAAAAAAAGGTGGGGTCTGCCTAAATGGAGACATGAAGCATTGTTATTGGAGTCTTTGATTCCGTGCCCTGCTTGCTCCTGGCTGTGTATCTATCTCCAGGCAAATTTATTTCCTTCTCTGGGCTGCTTTGTGGACGGAGGAATTGGACTAAGTGAACACGGACATCCCTTAATATTTGGAATCTGTTCAGCTTCCCCACTTGGGCCCTGCTTTGCTGGTTGGCTCTGAAGAGGGATGCAGGCCACCTTTCCCCGTGTGCAGGCTCTTATCCCAGAGTGAGATCCTCCTGACCTGGCAGCTCCCCGCTCACCTCTGCAGTCCCCTCCCCTCAGCACCCTGTGGGCTCTCCCAGTTCCCCGGGGTTTTTATGGATTTCCCTGATCTTGAGGGGACCTGTTCCTGGGACTGGGTCTTGTGAGGGAGTGTTGTATACTGTGCTCTACTTGGAAATGCCCCTGAGAAAAGCAGCAGCAGGAGGGAGCGTGAGGAAGGGGAGCGTCCACAGCCGGTTTCTGTGGGGTTGTCACGTGTAGCATTCCTTTTGAGGCCCACGTGTATAGATTCGGGATTTTTCTAGAAGGATCATGGAGGGATTTTTCTGGATCTTGCTTCTTCCACTTTCACAGCAGGGTCTCCGTTTCTCTCTCTAACATGAAGACAATAAGACACCTTGATGGGAAGTTTGGAAGCGTGGGTTAGGGTGTGTCCTGTGCCTGGCACGGGGGAAGTGCGCTACACATGTTAGCTTCCTTCTTTCAGGAAGGATTTGCCTTTTGGATACTCCGTAGACTGGTTGGGGGAGTGAAATGTTTGCATGTGACCATTTTCCCAAGGAGAAGCAGGGCTGCCTAGCAAGCTGTTACAGCCCCCAAGGACCTGTGCCTCCCCAACTTTTTAAATTCTGGGCTCAAACTTGGAGCCAGGCTCAGTGAGTGTGTGCTCAGTGTGGGGATGGGAGAGGCGTTTGCAAAAGTTGGAGATCTGAGGCCTCCTGGGGCTGTGCAGGTGTGGAGTCCATGGTCTGAGTAAGGAGGGAGTGGCCTTTCTGAGCTGTGAGAACTTGACAGGTTCCTTTTAGCCTTCATTTCCTGCGAATTCCCCAAATTTCCTCCTGCTGATCTCTAATCTTACCTTATTTTGATTGGCGAACATATTTAGTATGATTTCCACCCTTTTAAATTTATTGAGATTTGTTCTGTGGCCTAACGTAGGTTATATCCTAGAGAACATTCCATGTGCGCTTGAGAAGAATTAGTATTCTGCTGTTGTTGGGCAGAATGTTCTATAGCTATCCCTCAGGGCTAGTGCTTTACAGTGTTCGAGTCTTCTATTTCCTTGCCAATCTGTTTCGTTGTTCTGCCCATTATTGAAAGTATAATATTGGCGTCTCCCACTAATTATTGTTGAATGGTTGATTTTTCCTTTTAATTCTGACAGTTTTTCTTACTTCGTGTATTTTGGGGATTCGGCTGTTGGGTGCGTATACCTTTATCATTGTCATATCCTCTCGATGGATAGACACTTTTATCATTATGAAATTTCCTTCTTTGCCTCTACTAAGAATTCTTGTCTTAAAGTCTAATTTGTCTAATGTTTACAGTCATTTCAGCTCTTTTAATTGCTGTTGGCATGGTGTATATTTTTCCATCCTTTTACTTTCAACCTATTTGTGTCTTTAAATTTAAAGTGTGTGTCTCTCTCTTTTTTGAAAATAGATTTTTATTGGTTACAGAGAGGAAGGGAGAGGGAGAAGGAGATAGAAGGAACATCAATGATGAGAGACTATTTGAACGGCCACCTCCTGCACACCCTTTCCTAGGGATTGAGCTCGCAACCGGGGCATGTGCCCTGATGGGGAATCGAACCATGACTTCCTGGTTCATCAGTCGAAGCTCAACTACTGAACCACACTGGCCAGGGGAAGGGTGTGTCTTTTATAAACAGCATATAGTTGGATCGTGGTTTTTTTTAACCCATCATCTCAACTTCTGCCTTTTAATTGGAATGTTTAATATATTTACATTTAAAGTAATTATTGACAAGGTAGGATTTTTGTCTGCCATTCTGCTATTTGATTTCTATCTGTCTATGTCTTTTTTTCTTTTTTTTTTTTTTTATCATGTTCCTTCTTATATGTATCAAAACTCATACTGAGCAATGAGTTCTGGGTTGCAAAAGAGGCTTTATTTTTAGCACCTGTATTGTCTATGTCTTTTTGTTTTCCTGTTGCTGTCTTCTTTGTGTTAAATAGATGTTTTTGAGTGTACCATTCCTGACCTGTAAAATGAGACGGAGAAGAGTGGGGGTTAAATGAGATGCGCTTAGCACAGTGCCTGGCAAACAGTGAGTGCTCAGTGGACATGGGCACTTGGTTGTGCCTCAGGCACTGAAAGAGCCACGGTCCGCCGTAGGGCTGGCTGAGAGCAAAGAACACCCACGGCTCCGTGGGACCCATCATGTTTCCTGGGCTCTGGCGGGCGGCCCCTCTGGGGAGTGAGGAGCAGTGGGTCCTTGGAAACTGCTTAATGCCAGCTGCTGGTCCTCTGGCCTCTCCCCTGCCCCAACACTGGGGCACCCCTGGGCTGCTTAGGAAGCCTTGCAGATTTCCCACCTGAGCCACCCTCCCCCCCTCAGCAGACCCATGAACCCATCTCTCAGGTTTGGGAACCACTGCTCAACACAGACAGGCAGCAGGGTGTGATAGAGACCTGGTTTGGAGTCAGCAGGCTTGGATTCCAATCCTGGCTTCTCACTCCTGAGCTCAGAATGTGACCTGGAATAAGTTAGTTTCCAGAGCCAACCTTTCCTTATTTCTCAGATGGGAATAAATGGTTGCACAGTAAGCATTGAACATGCGGGCAGTGCAGGTGGCTATTTCATATGGCAGTGGCTCATAACAACGGGGTTTCTTTGATTCCTGGACACAGGCCTTGTCCCCACTTCCCTGGGCTCCTAAGTTCCTCACAGGCAAGAACCAATGAATAGTGGCTCCTGGACAGACACCTGGTTACCTGACAAACAGTCCGCTGCCCTCCCCATTGAGCCACACTGCCTCCGGGCCCTGCTTCTCCCAGCCTTGGTGCAGAAACAGAAGGGAATTGCCTGGCTGGCGTGGCTCAGTGGTTGAGTGTGGACCTATGAACCAGGAAGTCGCCGTTGGATTCCCAGTCAGGGCACATGACCGGGTTACGGGCTCCATCCTCGGTGTGGGCGTGCACGAGGCAGCCAATCAATGATTCTCTCTCATCATTGAGGTTTCTATCTCTCCCTCTCCCTTCCTCTCTCCGAAATCAATTTTAAAACATATATTTAAAAAATAAACAGAAGGGAATTGAAGAAGCATTATGAGGTAGTGGTTAACACTGGGCAAGGGCATGACCATCCAAAAAGACTAAGGAAAGCATGTGCTGGAGGACTGCCTGGAGGAGGTAGGCCTTGAAGGAAGGCAGATTGTCAGAGTGGAGGTAGAGGTTCCAGGCAGAGGAAACAGCTCCAGAAAAGGTCCCAAATCAGGAAACTCTCGTTGGGGTGATCTGTTGTGTATGTATCTCCAGCCCCTGCACGGGACACCTTGCATTACAATCTGTGCTCTGTGTCTCTCCTCCACTCCTCTGTGCAGGTAGGGACTGTGCCTTGTCTCCATGTCTCCCCAGAGCCTAGTGCACAACAAATGCTTGTGGGGTGGATGAAGGGGCCGTGAGCAAACCTCTGGTGCTGCAGAGGCTGCCTGTGTGTTGGGTGTGGGGGACCGTAGGCAGGGTGAGGCCATGTTAAGGGAGACCCCAGTGGTGGTCCCCTCTGTGTCTTGGCCCAGGGCAGAGACCTGCTGGGGAGCCAGGCCTTTCCGAAAAGGGAGGGAAGAACTGGAGCAGCCTCCGGTGGGGTGAGCCCTGTAGAGCACAGAGAGGGTTGTGAGGAGACCAAGGGCTCCACCCGGCCCCGTGAGCCCCCCTCTAAAGGTTCAGTCACTGAGGTCCTGGCGGTAGGGACAAGTTGCTGTATGTCTTCTGGAGAGAGCCTGACCCCACCAGCTTCCACCCCACCTCCCCTGGGCTCCAGAGCTCTGTTGGGAGGGGTTTTCCTGGGCTGCCCGTGAGCCTCGAGGCTCCGTCCTTCCCTGGCTCTGCCTGGGACTGTGTGTTTTCTCTGCCTCAGCTTCCCCTCGAAGAAACGGGCCTGGTTATCTTGGCTTTTCATGAGCATCCTGGGGATGTTTGCGGGCACTGGGGGAGGGGGATAAGAGAGGTAGCCACTCTGAGAATGCCTCATCAGGCAAAGGTTCCCCTCTCACAGGATCCCTTTAAAAGCACCTCAGTGCTGGCATTTAAAAATATATGTATATATTTTATTGATTTCAGAGAGGTAAGGGAGAGGGAGAGAGAGAGAAAAAAACATCAATAATGAGAGAGAATCATTGATTGGCTGCCTCCTGCAGGCCCCACACCGGGGATCAAGCCTGCAACACAGGAATATGTCCTGACCGGAATCGAACTGTGATTTCCTGATTCATAGGTTGATGCTCAACCACTGAGCCACGCCGGCCAGGCTAGTGTGGCATTTTTTTTTTTTTAATATATATTTTATTGATTCTTTACAGAGAGGAAGGGAGAGAGACAGAGAGTTAGAAACATCGATGAGAGAGAAACACCGACCAGCTGCCCCCTGCACATCTCCCACTGGGGATGTGCCCGCAACCCAGGCACATGCCCTTGACCGGAATCGAACCTGGGACCTCTCAGTCCACAGACCGACGCTCTATCCACTGAGCCAAACCGGTTTCGGCTAGTGTGGCATTTTTATAATCAAAGCTCAAACAGCAGCCGGCTCGAACCCTGGCTGAGCCTTTTGAGCCTGATCAGCTTGACCCTGAGACCCCTGGGACCTGTGGCTCCCTGGCCCATCTACCTGGCCTCTGCCTTCCAGAGCTGAAGTTCAGTCTGGAGAATGATGATAACCTAAGACTCTCTCTAAACTAGAAATGGGCAGCTTGTAAGGCCTGCTCTTTCATGCCCCCAGGGGAAGTGACACTTCTAGGAGCCAGGTCCTCCTCTTTGTAGCTGGTGTCTCCTTCCTTATTGGTTTGCAAACCCCGTGAGAACAGGATTTGTGTGTCCAGTGGCTGGGAGAAATGGGGCCCTTCAGCCTAGCTGTGAACTCCAGTTACAGGGGGACGTACAGCACTGCAAATGAGGGCACTGTGTCCAGAGGAAGGTCTATCTAGGACAGGGGTGGGGAACGCTCGGCCTGCGAAATCATTTGGTCTGGCCCTGCCAAGGCATTAGGGTGAGTTAATTAAATGTTTGACCAAATATAGCAGGCTAATTTTTAAGTTGATAATTGTGTATGGCCCTCGAATGATGTTATAAATATCCAAAAGGCCTTTGGATATTTGGCAGAAAAAAAGGTTCTCCACCCCTCATCTAGGGCCTGGGCAGCAACCAAGATGGCAGTTCCAGGCCACATGCCCAGTTTGGCTGTAGCCAAAGGCCTCAGAGTATCTGAGAGAGCTTTTCAAGATGTGAGCCTGGGCTGCAGGGCCAGCTGGGCCGTGCTGGGCTCCCCTAGGAAGGGCTCCTCATCACTGCCCTCCTGGCTTCCTAGCCAGACATCTTGGTGTCCTGAGGCCCAGCCCAGCCATATCAGGACGCACAAGGAGACAGACCCGCAGGCTCATGTCCCTGGCTGTGGTCTCAGCAGAGGAGGAAGCCTCGGGGGAAGAAAAAATGAGGCAGGGGCAGTGACAGGGCTGGCGCTTTTCCAGTTGGCCTGCCTGTGATGCGGGGCAGCAAGTGACAGTCAAGGGGCAGGTAGCTTGTGGACCAGCAGTTGGAGAAGGATTTGTGTTTAGCTTAGTTCAGTGGTCGGCAAACTGCAGCTGGCGAGCCACATGTGGCTCTGTGGCCCCTTGAGTGTGGCTCTTCCACAAAATACCACGTGCGGGCGCGCATGTACAGTGCGATGGAAACTTAGTGGCCCATGCGCAGAAGACGGTATTTTGTGGAAGAGCCACACTCAAGGGGCCAAAGAGCCGCATGTGGCTCGCGAGCCGCAGTTTGCCGACCACTGGCTTACTTGATGAGGGCCTGGGGCCTTTGATGGGGTGGGATGGGAAGGGGTGGTGGTTAGGAGGTGGGGCCTTTCCACTTTATCTCAGCGTCAGGGGAACTCTGATCGGGGAGACTAGAAATCAGGGTGGACACGCTGGCTGTGAGCAGTACCTCTGCCCAGGCATGGCTCTGACTCACCTTGGGTGCAGTCTTGAATGAGCATCCCAAGAGGCAGATACAAGCCAAGTTCCAAGAACAGTGTTCTGCAGCTGGCAAGTTACTGGGGACAAGGAAATACCTACCTGGAATGTACTGTGCTGAGGGTTGTGGTAGGCACTGAGGAGGCGTTAGGGGCTCATGGTGCAATTCCCGGCTTATCCTTGGGGTGAGGGGAGATTTTCCATGGGAAGCAGTCTAAGGCCTGAAGGATGAGGAGGACTTGGCCAGATGACAAAGGTGGAAGGTATCCTAGGCAGAGGCACTGCCTGGTCAACGACCTGGAGACAAAGCAGGAACAGCACGTTGAGATAGGAGCAGCACTGAATGGTGGCTCAAACCTGGAGGGTGAGAGAGGTGGCAGGAGCCCGTCTGCAGGGACTTATGGGCAGGACAGGAAGTTTGGGCTTTGCCCTATGATAGCCTCTTTGGTGCTCAGGGAACTGGCTGCTTAGAGGTTTTGGGCCTTGTTGGGTGCCCTACTTGGGTTAGAGATGCATGAGCTCTGACTCTCCCTCTTCCTAGTGTATGTTGTGGGGTAGGGGTGGCCCCGGTTGTAAGAGCAGGAGCTTGGAACATTAGCTCCAAGGGTCAGGGGGGTCCCCACATCAGAGCTGAGCCATTGGCCGCTGGCACCAAGCTGGGCACCTCCTTCCTGGCCTGTGTGACCTTGACCCACAACAGTCTTTTCTCTCAGATGGACACACTGAATGCCCCAAGCATGTAAGTGTCCTTGGTCCCCTGATTGGTCCCATCACCCTGTGGAGAGGGCTCACTGGACTCTCCCAGCTACTGCTGGGCATGCGGCAGGGTTGCTGATGGCACATGGGGAACGGTATGTGTTCATGTTGCCATCCTGGGCGGGCATGGTGGCACCATCAGCACAGGACGCCCAAGGCCTTTCCAGCACCTTCCCTCATGTGTCTGCAAAACACATATGCAGGTTCAGCGTTGTTTTCTTTTCTTGGCGCACAGTACTTTCTTCTGCAGAGAGAAACTCCTTCTCACCATTGATCCTCCTCAAAGCCCCTCAGGTCCCCAGCCTCTGATTACCAGACTCTTACCTCGTCTTCTGCCCAGGGTACCTGTGGGTCTGACCAGGGACTGGTTGCAGTAGTGAGGCGCCTGCAGGAAGGGAAGGGTGAATGGAGCCATGACAGACAGTCAGATTGAGAGAGTGGGTTGCCGTGCCTGGGGCCCCATGGTGACTGGGTTTCCTTTTGCTGTGCTCCTGCCTCTGATGTCAGACGGCCTGCAGCTGGTCCTGGGGGTGAGCTGCCTGCAGGAGTTCCTCATTACACCCTTTTTCCTGCAACCTTGGGGAGTTGGCCCACAGGTCGGCAACCTGCAGAAGAGACGGCTTCCTTCCTTTTCCTCACTGTGAGGAAGGCTAGGCTGACTGCCACTGGGGAGAGGAGGAGTGGGGCTAGGCAGAAGAAATGGGAGGAAGTGGCTCAGTCCTGGCCAGAGTTGCAGGCTGTGACGTACCAGAGGGGTAGGAGATGGAAGCCCCACCAGCAGCAACCAGAACTGAGGCGGGGTGGGCTTGCAGGGGCTGGGGAGTCCAGGCCCAGAGGGTGGGCCCAAAGTGGCCCATGCAGCCTCAGACCTGCCTGCAGGTGGACCTCACACACATGCTGGCGTCTGTGGTGAGCCCCCGCCTCTTCCCTCCCTTTATGTAGGACTGCGGGTCTCAGCTGGCCTGGGGGAGAATAGAAGAGGTTTACCTGCCAAAGGTTCAGGCAGGGGCAGGGGCTTCCCAGGGACAGTGAGAAGGAATATCTGTGTCCAGAAATCCTTGCTCTGAAATGTTGGGGAGGGAGCTGTGAAAGGAAGGTGTGCAGAGAGGAACCTGGTGTCTTAGTGGCATGTCTTGGGGATAAGGAACAAGAGCTTCGTCTAAGAGTCAGACACACCAGGGTTCAAGTCCTGGCTCTGCATCATAGTTAATGTGTGATCGTTGGCAAGTGACCTAGTCCCTCTGCGCCTCATCTAGCTCACCTGTGAAATGAATGTTAATGGTACTGCTTTGGCTTCATGCTGCTTTATAAAGCTGTTGTGGGAATTAAACACATATTAAAAAAGCACTTAGGATCTGCCTGGTACAAATACACTATTATCATTATTGTTGTTGTTGTTATTATTATTATTATTATTATTATTATCAACTACTACTCCTGCTATTTTAGTGCCATGCTGCCTTCCTCCCCTCCTGCCTCCAGGATTCCCAGGCATCTTCCACACTCCTCTCCATTCCCCAAATAATGACCTTTCTTTCCAGGGGATCCTAGGTCTGGGTGTCCATGATCAGCACTCTTAGCCCAGCCAGCCAGTGGGGGAGACAGGGAGGCCTCTGCCAAAGCTTCTGGGGGAACTCAGCCTCCCCAGAATTGGCCCCTGGATTTCTTCTGAGCTGCTGGCCCTCCTTGATGTGCAGGGTCAGTGGTGGGAGGCAAACCGGCTGAGCTTAACCCCTCTGGGCCTGACCAAGTAGCTGCAGGTGGTTGGGCCTGGGGAGGTGGGGGCAGGAGCAGCTCTGCCTGGAGCCCCATTCACAGACTCCACTCCCACCTCTCCCTGCCCGGCTGCAGAGCCTGCCATCCTGGGCCTGGTGTCTGGGTGCCCTCCCAACGGGCACACGCACACGTGCACCACGTCCCATCTGCCACGTGGGCTCTCCCTCACCCCAGACTGGCGCGTCTCACTAGGTGACAGGGCTGTGTGTGTGGGGGGGGAGGGGGGGTGATGTCTGTGTACTGTTGGTGGAGGAGAGGCCCCAGTTGAGATAAGCGTGTACGCGCCTGAGAGGCTCCCAGCCCCTGGAAGACACGTGGACCTTCCAGCCTGCCCTGGGCAGCTCCCCTCCCCTCCCCTTCCTCCCCTCCCCTCCCCTCCCCTCCCCTCCCCTCCCCTCCCCTCCCCTCCCCTCCCCTCGGCTTGAGCACGTTCTTCCTGGTTCTTCCTGCCTCTGTCTTGCTTCTGCAGACTCGTACCTCTAGTTGGTTCCTGCCAGTTGGAGAGGCAGAGCCGGGCTCCTGTAGCCAGGACAGCCCCATCCTGCAACTTCGAAATGGCCCCCGGGGTTATTTTCAGTCTGGGGCGAGCCTTTGGTTTCTGCTCCGAATTGGGGTGATTGTCAGGGAATGAGAGTTTAAAGCAAGAGAAAGGGGTTTGTTCAAAAGGTGCTTCCTGTAGCCCCCAGCACTCTGCTGGGCCAAGGTGCCTCGGGTGCCCTCCTAGCCGCTCTCCCTCCTCCAGTTTCCACATGTGAAGAAAAGGGGGTGCAAGCGGGGAGAGTCTCCCTCACTTCAGGGCTGAGAGCTGAGGAAGGAAATGGAGGAGGAAGTTCCTCCCCTTCTTGGTGCCGGTGAAAGTGAAAGGCACGCAGGGGCCGGAGTGAGTCACCAGCGCTGGGAGGGAAGGGCTGGGAGCTGCGGAAGCCTGCGCTGGAGTGATAGCACCCGGCCTCCCTGGGGCCGGGGCATCTTGGGGTGTAGCCGGGGCTTCATACCAGCGCCTGCCCGGTACCGCCCAGCCCCAGCCCTCCTCTGCTCTCCTGGGAACTCCTGGGCTGCTAACAGCGACCTGCAGCGTCTAGGGGCGAGGGCTGAGGTCAGCCTGGGCATGCAGATGCATTCCTAGGGCTTCCTTAGCCCCCCTCTCCTCCCCTCCCAGCCCGACTGGCTCAGGACCAGAACATTAATTAACCTGGGGAAGAAGTGAGTCATGCAGCTCCCACCCTTACCAACTTCCCTCAGGGAGGAAAATATAACCATTTCTGAAGAAAGTCTTTGAAAATACATGCAAGTTATACATGTAAGTTATCACTTACACGTAAGTAATAAAAATACACGTAAGTTATGCTGGTCTTGGTTGTATGTTCTGTAGCAGGATAAATAGAGCAACCTGGTTCTTTTTTCTCTCTTTTTTAAAATCAAGTTAGAAGACAAACAGAAGCACTTGAGTCACACCATGTCATAGAGAGACCTTCTGGACTCGAGGTCCAGCAGTCTGCTCCCTCAGCATCATACCTTTGCTCTTTGGCATTGGGGGGGGGGGGGGGCGGTGAGCACTGCTGACCAGCTGCTAGGTGGCATCCCGCCTCCAGCCTGCCAGGGCTGCAGAACAGGTTCCTGTGCTAGTTTGGGGAAGACTCTGGCAGCCACCCTCCCACCCAGCAGCTCCTCCCAGGGGCGGGGCTAGGACAGCACACACCCTTGTGGGGCCTCACCTGCCAGCCCTGGTGCCAAGGACCTGAGCCTAGTCTTGAGGCCTGGACTCTGCAAGGACCTGGTGGGCTCCTGACTCTGGGACGGCACAGTTGGGAATGACCCCTGTTCTCTCCACTTTCTGTGTCTGAGATGTGCTTGGAGCGTCAGACGAGGCATTGGCTGAACAAATGCTCCTTCTGGCTCTGGGGGTGAGGTCACTGCCTGGACAGGTGGGAGAGGACCAGGCCGGGCTGCCCAGTGGACTGGCTTACGACGGAAAGGAACCGGAACACGGCCTTCATCGCCCCTTTTCCCGGCTTGACTGCCGGAGCTCTGGCTGGATCGAAGCCCCCATCCCCCGTGGCAGATGCCTTTGTGCAATTCACAAATTACACCACATGCAGCAGGGCCTTAGAGGCCCCTCCGTTGTCCTTGTGCTGACGTCTGGGGCATTGTGGGAGGCTGTGGCTGACACTGTTGCTATGCTTCTGTCTGCAGGCTCCAGGACCTCGCGGAGCATCATGAACTGGGAAGCGTAGACAAGCTCACGAGCATCTTGGTGAAGAGAGAGGAACCGCCAACAGTCCTTTCTCCCTGTGCCTGACCACATCACCCAGCACTTTTTCCTGCCCCTGTTCAGCTCCCACGGCTCCCGGACCAGGGGGCTCCCAGCAGGACCTTCCCCTAGGGGATGGGCAACTGGTGAAGTTAGGTCTCATCCCCCCGGGCCGGCCCAGTTGGCCACACCATGAACCTCCAGGCCCAGCCCAGGGGTCAGAACAAGCGGAAGCGCTGCCTCTTTGTGGACCAGGAAGCAGCTGCCAAGGAGCAGCCCCCACCCCTGCCGGCCCCACCACAGCCCCCGGCCCCTCCACAGTCCACCCGAGTGAAGGAGGAGCCTTACTTCGGGCACGAGGGTCCCACAGGGGCTGCCCCTGCCTCCCAGCCGGTGGAGCTCTCCAACAGCCTGGCCCTGCTGAACTCCGTGGTGTATGGGCCTGAGCGGACCTCCGCCGCCATGCTGTCCCAGCAGATGGGCTCGGGCTCGGTCAAGTGGCCCAACTCTGTGATGGCTCCAGGGAGGGGCCCGGAGCGGGGTGGGGG